AGGCCCCACCCCCACTCCATCCCTTCCCCAAGGCCCCAACTCCACCCCATCTCTTCCTGTCCCTGCTCTGATCCAACCCCGCTTCTTCCTGCCCCATTCTGCCCCCTCCCTCTCCGCTGAGCACAGCCCACTCTCGCCCCTCTCTCCTCCCCCCAGTGTCTCCTGCCCATCACGGAATATCTGATCCGCGATGGGCGGGAGGCACTGGGAGGGAGTGGGAGGCACTGATTGATGGGTCCGCTGGTGGGCGGGAGGTGCTGATAGGTGGGCTGCACCCACCATTTTTTTTCCATGGGTGCTCCAGCCCTGGAGCACTCACGGAGTCAACTCCCATGCCCTTGCCTATCTACAGAGGGCTTGTCACAACCCAGTCCATAGCACCAATCTGAATGCACCATGGAACTTTTCAACCATACAAACAACAGGTCAGATCTCGTGAGATGCTGTGCACCTTCAACTCCCAGTTGATGGCACTCAGTTCCATTCAGGAGGCATCTAGCAGCTTGAAAGTCAGAGTCTAAGGCGAGAAACAGGGCAAGAATGCAACACAGAGATTAGTGCAAGATGCAGACATGAATCAGTCCACTGACAGAAAAGAGCATAGGGGGTTGGAAGTCTCACCAGTTTAGGAAACCCCAATTTGTAACACTATGTGAGTGTTTCACCTGTAACACATGTGAAAACAAAAGCCAAAACGTATCTCTGTCAACATGTCTACAGCAGCATTGCTACTTCCAAGCATTCAAAAATCATAAGTCAGGTGACCAAGAATCTTGAAATTGGTTTCCAAATCAGGTGATTTAATGGTAATAAAATTGGAGTATTTTTTATGTGCTCTCTGGCTTTTGAACACAGGAATGGAATGGCAACCATCCATCTCAAAAGATGACGATGTAATAACCAAAACAGTTCACTTACTGTATGTCATGCTGCAGCATCACAAGTGGCTAAAAAGTGCAATTGTCACGTGACAGTCCTTGCCACAGATAATGCAGGAATAAAGTGCAAGGCCAAAAGATGAAGCTGGTACACTACTAACACTTGAGGATGCTGCTTTCCTCTCTCATCTTGACCACCTCTCTTCAGCCTCCAACACCCTTGTGCAGTGCAGTCTGTTGCTATCTGGCTCTTCCCAGCTTGTGGTGTTGAGGTTGAAAGTTTTCAAGTCCTCCTTGAAAATGTCTTTGAACCTGAGCTTAGGTCAACCCCATGGCCTTGGAGCATCTACAGGTTCTCCATACAGGAGATCTTTTTGAATGCACCCATTTCCCATCTGGTGCAGATGACCAACCGATGCTGTAACTGGTCCAGGTCCACACAGCAGCGTGCTCAAAATGCACATCTGCTGGACCAGTACCTTGGCTTTCAGTGCCAGTTTCCTGTTATCCTACATGTGCTTGGTCAGTTGGCCAAATGTGGGGGACTGCCTTTCTGGTGTGAGAATTAAATGTGGCATCCAGTTAAGTTATCTCATACAATTGACCCTAGACAGCAGAACCTGTGTACAACTTCTAATGTGGTGCTAGCTATTAAAACTTCTGGTGCAATCAACGTACCTTTTGTCAGAATCATTCTCTTTTTTAAAACTGATGATTATTCCAAATTCATCACAAACTAGCACAAAGCCATTGCAAAGCTGCTGGAACTCCTCTTCACTGCGTGCAAAGAGCGCTGCATTGTCAGTAAAATGCAGTTCTCTTATCAGAATGTGTTAAACTTTGCTTTTTGCTCTTAGACATGCCACATGGAAGAGTTTTCCATCTGATCTAGTAGGGATACTTACACCCTCAGTGCTAGGTGAGAAAGCATGATGAAACAGGAGAGAGAAGAATATACCAAAGAATGTTAGTGCCAAAATAAATCCCTGTTTGACACCACTGCAGTGTTTTTGAACACCCAGCATTCACCTATTTAAACTTTACTCTGTAATAATGACTGCTAGAAACTTTGTCTTTTAAATGAAAGCTAAGATTCTGATGTAAATCCCCTGCACTCCAGCAACTGGGGCTTTAAGAAAAAACCACCAAATAGTACGAGATTCACACTAACATCATGAGAGTGGGCAACACATAGCCAAATAACAAGTATAATGCATATGAAACACTGACCTGATCATGCAAGATGACCAAGAAACTTTCCAAAGCCAGACAGCTCATGATAAAAGCAACCACCCCACACACTCCAGCTTTGCACATGTATCCATTAGTAGCAGCAGTGGGGGCAGGAGCTGGCAGCTGCAAACAGGCAGGGATGACAAGTTTTATATTTTACTTTTGCAACTGTGAAAACATTTTTGATCACTGATCTCATTTCTTGAATGGTTGACATAATTTTGTGGGTCTGCTGACAACAAAACTTTCACAGACCTACGAAGCTGCCTCCTGTCTGTATATTTTTGTAGCATTAACATATACTGTGTGTGTATGTATTTCTCTAGTAGTGGGAGTATTTATTTAACGTATGAGGTATGAACTCACTGTATGTTAAATCTAATTTTGTACAGCCTTCTTTTGAAGAACTCCCAAACTCCTGCAGCCCACCCCATGGAAGAAGGAAAATACCAACGGGCAACATATGCCTCCAAACTAGTCTCCTCTGTTTCTTATTTGTACTTTCCTAGAGCATTCATTTCAGGAAATCTGTATTCAGTGTTGCTGGATCTACAGTACATGAATAAAGGAGTCTGAGTAGAAGTACACATAATAGATTACACTAACGAGGTCTCCACTGTAGCTGGACCACCCCAAGGAAGAACAATATGTCCCCAAGCTCGCAGCATGGTGGGGCAGGGTGTAGGTTGCACCATCAGGTAGGCAGCAGAACAGGCTGGTGCAGAACGGGTGGGGCAGGGCCCTGGCTCATCCTCTCCTATCACCACTGTGGCAATTTGCACCCCAAGTGATGCATGGATGGAGCAGTCCCTGTGCTCTCCGGAAGGTAGGAGCATCTATTGTTGGGGTTGGTCCTGCTTTGAGCAGGGGGTTGGACTAGATGACCTTCTGAGGTCTCTTCCAACCCTAATCTTCTATGATTCTATGATTGTCTCTGGTCCTTACCCAGGCATGCAAGGGAGGGGAAGGCTCTTTGCAATACCCTTTGTGTCACCTCACAAAGATCAGGAACAATCTAACCCTCAATTTACTCCCAAGTAATACAATATTGAGCATTAAATACGAGTGCCTTCAAATCTGGATTCACAGCAGTGTGAAACACTAGTGTGTCAGATTCCACATGGCTTATGTCCATTATATCACGCACAATGTGTTGATGAAAGGAAAACCTGGGAAACATCTTTCAGACTTTAGGGGACTGCTGTGCTGTTATAGGAGAAGGAATAGTAAGCCTCTTTAGGAGCTCACCCTTCAGCTATCAGATTGGCCTGTGGGAAGGAAAAGGTAACGAGAGAAACGGCAAAAGGTACCAAAGAGGACAATGGATGATCAACAAAGGAGTAAACAAAAGGGACTGACAGCATCTTTGAAGCTGCCCACCAATTTGTCTTCCCCAGTGGTGCCTATGCTGTGGTGAGAGCAAGATAGATAAGCAGACACTTTCTCGAGTAGTTAACTCACAGGAGCATCAGGGACTTCCCTAGCTATAGCTGGGAGCTGCAGCAGCAGCAGAGCAAGGTAAGGCCTAGCTAGGGCCGTTTGCTCCCCCAGCATGTTCATAATCCCTTGATGCCAGTGATGGGAAAATATTTTCTGTCTGAACGGTTGTTTGCCCCAACATCTCCTCCTCCTCACAGTCACTTGGCTGCAAGCCTCTTTCCCCGCTGCCCTTTGTGCTCTTCCCCATCCTGCCCTGCTCCTCAATGTGTCTATTCTCCTTCCTTCTTTTTCACGGGCTTATTCACTCCTTCCTGCTGTCACCCACCTGCCCTCTAATTTAAATGTATACATTTAAGAGAAGCAGCAATGGAGCAAAGCCAAGTGCCCAGAATGCCCCAGTCACTTTGCACGGGCACTGTATTCCTTTCCCCCAAAACGTTTTCTCTGTTTGTCCTTTTAGTTTGCAAGCTCCTTGAAGGCAGGGATCATCTCTGGTGGTGTGTTCATATAACACCTAGCATGATGGGGCCCGTTATCCTGACTGGGGTTTCTGAGTGTTCCTGCAGAACAAACAAACAAAGGGCCAGACCCCTTTCATATTCCCCTCCCCACTCACTTTGCTCTGAAGACCAGCTCATGGCTGGCCCTCACACAGATGCATGGGAGTGGTGGAGGAGGCACAAGAAGTTTTTCATCCCTTGTGCTGTCTGAATAAGGGCATTTCCCTGTGCTGTGTATTTCCAATGGAGTGCAAGAAAGGAAGGAGGTGGAACTATAGCCACGGTGCCCCCTCTGTATCAGCTGGCTGCAAAATTGATGGTGGAGCCGCCCCACCTCAGTCGCACGCCAGGAAGCTCCAAGAAAGATGCGCACCCCTCTGGGCAGTTCTACACCTCCCCATAGCTGGTCCCATTTCTTGCCTGGATTCTTTGCATATAAAAATCACCACAGAATTTTGATTAATGAAGGCTACCTCCACTGGGGAAATGTTTATGGTAATACAAGTATAAAGGGCACAAATATGTTAGGTCATTTTAAAGGCCAAGGATTCAGCCTCCGACTCTTGTTTTTACATGCACATTGAGCTCGTTGCATGCACAAAAACAGGTTAGGGTGTATTTTTGGCATGCAAATTGGGCCAACTGGCATGCAAAATGGGCATATGCTCATTATTACTTGCACATGAAAAAATTGCACAATGCAAAAAACAGGACAGTCAGCAGCTTGAGGCCAGTTGAACATTGGGGTCCGTTTTTCAATCCATGTATTGTATATTATTGATTACAGACCCTCCCTCACTAATATTAGATCACTATTGTGCTAGCCACAGCACAAACACATATTTGAAGACAGACCTTGCCCAAACAATTAATAATCTACATGGGAATAATGCGTGTAAAGCCCTTGCATAGCAAAAGGAAAATAGCTCAGTTCCTGTTGACTTGCCAGCCACACATCTGCTGAAGAAATATTTTAATCACTTGTTTTCCTGACAATTAATGAAAACGACAGGATTTTGTTTTTTTCCTTTGTAAAAACAAAACCTAGTACCACAGAAAAACCTCCCTGCTAACCGAGCAAGGAGAATTTTGAGTCCAGTAATATGCATTGCTCATACTGGAGTCTGCATCTCTAAGACCCTCTGCTGCTCCTGGAGGCAGCTTTTAACTGCAAGCTTCAGTGTGGCGTGGCTCAGAGACAGCCGACATCATCGCTGAGCGCCCTGCTTTCTGCAGCATCCAAGCAGCCTATTCACACCACCATTGAGCGGTGGCAGGGCTTGCAGGAAGCCAAGGTAATCGTTTTTATACTAAATAGCTGGCAAAAACATAGTCCTATGCAGCTAGGAGGGACACAGGGTGGGCTGAGGGGAGAACTTGAGTAAAAGCTGTCCCTGAGAAATGAAGCAGCAGACATTTTCTAAAATAAACACTTTCTTTCTAATGTAAGGGACTGAAATAGGAGGGTGAGATGCTGCAGCAGGGAGGAAGCCATAGCTAGGAAGGGGAATGGATTAAAATTCTGTGTGACATGGAATTCGTTTTTCTAATATTATCTTCTTCTTTTTTTTAGGCTAGCTATGAAGTTTGGAAAAGGTTTCAAACACTGAAGGCAACTGTAAAGCACTGGGTTCCCAGATGGTGGTTCTTATCTATGGCAAATTTTTTTTGTCCTACTGAAAAGGGCTGTTTAGAGAATAAAGCACCATGTAATTTCCAGCAGTGACAATTTATGACTTTAAAAAAAAAAAGGATTCCCTCATTTTCATATTTACATATTTAATTTTTGCACTTGCATGTACATTTCTGTTATCTCCCATCCACATGTTGCTATTTGTCTCTGTAGTGAAGGAAGTTTTATTTCCTGTGTGCAACATGAAGCCTGACTTGCATGTAAAAAGATCCAATGAAAAATCATCCCTTACTGAAATAAAGTGAGCTGGCATGCCGTACGCTTTGTGTGAACATTCCGCTTGCAACCACTGCCTGTAACACACAATGTATACATGCACCATGACCTGCTTATTTTAAATACCAGCCATAACTGTAGCTAGAGCTCTATAATGCCATCACTGTAAATGGCCAAAGGGGATCAGCATACCACATACATAGTAGCTGAGCGGTGGGTGGGGAAAAATAAATGACTGAATATATCAGAAATCAACCCTATTTGGCCAGCTGAATGCGCTGAACAATCTCACTGTTCAACTTCTAGAGACGTAGAGATGCCAAATCTGGGCTACAAGGGGCGTCCCAAGACTCATGAGAACATTGCAGTCACTCAGTGGCTGGATTTAGACTGTTATTCATGTTACCCAGCCATTTTAGATTCATCCTTCAGATAATTGACTTTCAATGGGACTTAGGTTCTTAAGTCATTTAGGCACTTTTGAGAATATTACACGTGGTTACAACCAACCAGCCCAACACAGACAAGGTTCCCCATTTCAGTCCTTTTTGTTGCAATACTGCGTAACCTAGCTGCTGAAGTCATTGGACAGCCATAATTTTAAAGGTATTTTAAGGTACTTTATGAAGGGTCTGTCTATTATTTAGTTATGGTTAACAAACTAAGGGTTCATTCCAACTTCCACTGAAGTGAATGGAAGGATCCCCACTGACCTCAATGGGAGTTAGAAAAAATACTTTTGTTCTTTACAAAATATTTCATAGAATCATAGACTATCAGTGTTGGAAGGGACCTCAGGAGGTCATCTAGTCCAACCCCCTGCTCAAAGCAGGACCAATCACCAACTAAATCATCCCAGACAGGGCTTTGTCAAGCCAGGCCTTAAAAACCTCTAAGGAAGGAGATTCCACCAACTCCCTAGGTAACCCATTCTAGTGCTTCACCACCCTCCTACTGAAAAAGTTTTTCCTAACATCCAACCTAAACCTCCCCCACTGCAACTTGAAACCATTGCTGCTTGTTCTGTCATCTGCCACCACTGAGAACAGCTAAGCTCCATCCTCTTTGGAACCCCCCTTCAGGTAGTTGAAAGCAGCTGTCAAATCCCCCCTCATTCTTCTCTTCTGCAGACTAAATAATCCCAGTTCCCTCAGCCTCTCCTCATAAGTCATTTGGTTTGGTTTGTTGATGGGGCAGAGCCCATCACCCCCGGCTCTCATCTGCTCCTAACCTGCAACCGATTCTGGTCTATCTGCATCATGTGAATGCGCTGAATTCCTGCTGTGATCTTCTCATCTTCTAATGGAGAGTTCCTCCAACTCAGGGGTCTTGCTGTGGTCACTTGCTGCTGCGCTGTGCCACCATCTCTCTTGCTGCTGGACGTGCATGCCATGCTCCTCCAGTGGAGAAAGACATGTTTAATATATCTTTTTTAAACCAGTGAACTTAACAGCCCTGAAAAGTGACACCCAAGGAATACTATACTGTATGACATTTACTCTCTCCTGGGCACTGGCTGAGATGGGGGACAATGGTGAATCACCCTTAGGATACTACTATTTTGTGCTAATCATGTACAAAGCGCTGGCATTCTAACAAGCTCTGTGCTGCTGATGCTGTCACTCCCATGCCCATTCTAAGCATCTGAATCTGACTGTTTCCAAGTGTTTCTGGAGTAGTGTAATCAGCACCCTAATATCCGTCAAACCACCATGCCTAATGCCATACTGTATACTTTGACTTGTGAGAGTGCATGTGCAGGGAACACAAGGAGCCTCTACCTCTTGTGTCACAATCAGAGGGCCTGCTCCCTCCATCCATCCCCTGGTGTCCCAAAGGGATTCATACCCCTGTGTTCCTGGGAGCACAGAACAGTGCAGCTTTGCATTGCCGCTAACTCCGGACTGTGCCTCAAAGGTACAATCTTATCCAAACAGTTAATTTAATTTGTGCTGGGCGTATACACAGCTGCATATGCTTTCATATCAGCCCTTATGGAAAAGTCATCTAGCATTTAATAGAAAACCATACATTTGCTATATCTTTTTTGCACCATCCTATAGAAATATAGCCCCTGTTATAGAATTCTATAGGATGATTAAAAAACTTTATAGAAATCTATAGTAGCAAAATCATTATCTATTTAATTATATAGGTTTCTAAAGAGTATTCTTTATGGAACCTTATTGGTTCCATCCCTATATAGGACTTTTTCCTAAAGGAATATATTTAAAGTGTGCAGCTAGTATTAAATATTCAAAAAACATTCTTATGGTTGAGATTTTTTAAATACATGTAGGTAAAGAAATGCAAACTGTCACACTCAAATGACAAGGTGGGTGAGGTAGTATCTTTCATTGGACCAACGTGTGTTGGTGAGAGAGAAGAGCTGTGTGTGGCTCAAAAGCTTGTCTCTCTCACCAACAGAAATTGATCCAATTAAAGATATTACCTCACCCACCCGATCTCTGTAACATCCTGGGACTGACATGGCTACAACTACATGGCTACTGTTTAAACTGGTTTCAGAGGAACAGCCGTGTTAGTCTGTATTCGCAAAAAGAAAAGGAGTACTTGTGGCACCATGCTCAAATAAATTGGTTAGTCTCTAAGGTGCCACAAGTACTCCTTTTCTTTTTACTGTTTAAACTGTGATTCATGATTGTGTATTCCAAACATGCAAGAATTTTCTGATCTTCAACCCATTCCCACAGGGCTCTTTCTAATGCCCCAAATTGCAATTTGAAGCATTATGCCAGCTGGGATTAATTGGGAAAGAGATTATGGGCCCCATCCCACCAGTTGATCTGCATGAATGGGCCTTAATGCCAACACAGAGCCCAAGAAAACTTGATGGAGAATCACAAGGGTGTTTGTCCATGCAAGGCAGCTGGTAGGACTGAGGCTCACATCCACATTGCCATCAATTACTGTAATTTTAAATATACAAAAACTATTTAAACAGACTCAAATCCTACAAAGGGTTCTGTGTATGAAGATTTCTGCTAATACATGATGTCTCAGGGCTCTGAGTGGGAATAAGGTAGACATATACAGATCTCCATGAAGGATGAGGGCCTGATTTTATGTCTTCTGAAATGAGTGGCATCGTAGTCATGCAAAGCATTCTGTGCTCCACTGAGCAGGGAGACACAAAAGTTTAAGAAATATGAAGACGTCAGCCACCCCACACTCAGCAGAAACTGTGCCTATTGTGATGACTGGGGGAAAAGAATAAGGGGTAACAAAGGAATGATGGGCGTCACTGGATTCAACCCCAGGAATGAGATGACTGCACTCAGAGTGAAGAAGAACTGGGTAGAAAAAGAAGCAATGGGGACACTGGGTATTGGGTTCGTATCTGATTTGCAGACTCTAATTATTCTGGTTATTCTGAAATCCTGGACTAACTAATTCAGTGCAATCAAATACTGTAGAAATGAAAACCTTAGAAATGCCTATGATAATGGTAATCCATAAAAGCTGTATTGTCCAGAAATTGAATTACTAGGGCGTACATTATATATAACATTTTTAAATGAAAGAGAGCATTGGAGGGGTACTCGACAGGTCTACAGCCTTTTGCCTCTAGCTCATAAATTTGACTCCAGCTGAGGTTGGTACCGAGTGGAAGTTGTAATTATTTAATACACTAACAAATATGTATATTAAATGTATGGTAGGGGAAATACATGCGTATTTTACAGTTTAGAAAGGATAGAGTTTCAACTTGTCCCTCCCTACAAGAAACTTGAAATTCAGCTAAAAATGCTTTTGTGTTATATACATTTATTATGATTCACTACTCATTTTCTAAAAACATTTAGCTAAGATTTCCCCTCTGGTGCTGTTAGCACAAAATGGCCTATGGTAAAAGAAGCTAGCTTATTTTTTCCAATAGAAAGCCTTCTAAGTTATAAGGTTAGGAGGACTCTTCAACCAATGGACCACCCTAATTGGTTGAAAATTGACAAAATGTTTCTTAATTAAATTTGTGCTAAACTACATTTAACAGATTTATAGTCTGTTTCCCACAAACTGTTCCCCTACTGCGCTCCCATCTTTTTGGTGTGAACTGCACCCTTTGGCAATTCCTTTGACTTGCTGCATCATTGGGGTGGTTAGACACGTTGCTTTATGTCAGTATGTCACATTGAGGTTTCATACCATTAAAAAAAGAGTTGACACCTCACTGGAAACACACATGAAGCAACAACAACAACAAAAATTCACAGTGTGCTGCTTCTCTGAAAAGTGAGTTTCTGAATACTCCAGATTTTCATTTAACTAAAAATGAGATTTTAAAATTATTCTAAAATAAGTAAAATACCGACTTTAAAAAATTCTGCTTGTAAAATAACAGGTGCGTATTGTTTCTGTGTATGGCTGGAAGTATAAAAAGAGGTATCTGAATATATACACACAGGTAGATTTAGGCCCCAATTCTGCTACTCTTTCTTCTACTGGGTAGTAACTTACTCTGAGAGTAAACCTACTGATTTCAACGTGCTTCTGATAAAGTACTACACAAGGAGATACAGAATCTGGCCATTAGTGAATTAAAAAAAACATGGAATTTAAATATTTGGATGTATTGCTTTTTATGTAGCATTTTCTTGAGTATAAGAGTTCATTTTGGAATCATAACAGGTTATACTTGAACCTGATCCCTTTGGTGTCAATATGAAATTTTCCCTGTGTGGAAGTGCAGGTTCAGGACAAAATTGTCTCTTAAGTATCAGCCATGTAAAAATCATGGGACACCACTTTTAATAACCAACATGAGACACCACCTGTCTTCAATCAGCATTCATAAATATCCAGTATATTATCCTTATCCAGTATATTAACTGAAAGATGAGATAAATGTATGCTGTACAGTGGTAGCAAAAAGAACATGGGCAAGAAAAGTAAAGAGAAATAATTCAGAGCACTTTCTGGAACATTAGGTGAGTACCCTTCTGAACCTTCCAGACTCCTGAATTCTACTTAGAAGAATATATAAAGAAGAGTACAGAGCACTCACACAGGCGGAATGCAAAG